ATTAACGCCTTTTATTAATAGCGTAGTCACTGTTTATCTTTAAGTACGTATGCATCTACACTATCTCTTGGCTGTCTGTTTATTTATAACGCTTTTTATTAATAGTGTAGTCACTGTTTATCTATAAGTATTTATGCATCTACAATCTATCCCTTGGCTGTCTGTATATTTATAACGCTTTTTATTAATATTGTAGTCGCTGTTTGTTAATTTTTATCGCTTGTTATTAATAGTGTATTCGTTGTTTATCTATAAGTACGTATGCATCTACACTCTATCTGATGTTTGCCTGCTAATTTATAACGCTTGTTATTAATAGTGTAGTCGCTGTTTATCTATAAGTTCGTATGCATCTACAATCTATCTCTTGGCTGTCTGTTTATTTTAACGTTTTGTATCAATAATGTAGTCACAATAGGTACGTATCTATCTGCCTGTCTGTCTCTTGGATTTCTTCTGGTATTAACGTTTTGAATCAATACTACTGTTCATCTATAAGTACGTAAGTCTCTACGTGTCTATCTCTTGGCTGGTGAATCTAATTGGATAGTTATTCAGCATTATTCTAATACGTACGTGTCCCCAATGTGCGATCCAGCGTCTATTCAATACGTTTTTTTCACTACTGCTCCTACCTCTCATTCGCATACAGTGCTGCTCAACTGTGACCCCGTGTCTGAAACGGACCCGACCCTTTTGCCCATCCCCAACCACGTGATGCTTAATCATTTGTATGCACTGAGTATAAGTGATGGTGTCATGGTACTCAGTGGCACCAACAGATATGTACAGGTATGTACCAGCTATTCTGCTCGTCCGTGTTGGTACGCGCATCGCTTTATGAGTATATATATATATATATATTATGAGTGTGCACACACACATATATATATATATATATATATATATGCATACCGTTGGGTGTATGTGTGCACACGTACTGGTGAATGTCATATCGCACCACTTATGTGCACAGAGATATCTCAGAGTGCGTACATGCACGTGTCAGCAACTGGCCATCTAGTTTTTTGGTCACACTAAGCTGTGGTATCCTCTCAGTGCCTGTGTAACAAGTGCCGTAGTAGTAACCTTCTCTGTGCGGTATGCCGTGCTCAGCAGTAGTACTCTGGTCTGCGTATACCATTCCTTGTATTCGTATCTGTTGCTTCGCCAGTGGTGTATATCTTGAACACGTTCCACAACAAACTCCATTTGCGACCGAACTATCGACCTTGCTATGACGAGCTGTGCGATCGCCAGCGTGCTAGAATGAAGTTATCTAAACTCACATTCTGCTTGCGAACCGGGCGTGTTTCCGTTCGTGTGGTGATATATCATTGCATGCACTGCCGTAGTACCCCTAGCGGGCGGGACCATTGAAATGTTTGTGCTAATAACAATCATGTGTATTATACCTGCATCGGGTTTGAGAGTCATTGATGTGATCGTACGCTATATTTGTACGCACGAGACCTAAAATCATTGTTTTTACGTATTAACCGAAAGTAGGTATCGCTCAGTCTACATTAGGGATGTGTATTTTCACACCATTTTGCATATATGTATCTTGATTAGAGGCACAATCATGACGTGTGTTGACATAACAACTTCACTTCCAGATTCCAAAACTGGAACCACAATTCTAAACCAATTCTTTGTTCCGCATTGACACTTTCATTTTTATTATTATTATGCAGAAATATGTTACGATTGTATTGTACCGCCCCGTCGACTAGTAAGGAAGTGGTCAATCCAAATATATAAAGAACCTACCTACCTTTAAAATCATATTCTGCGCATAATTGTAATTTCAAACTCAAGCGTGTGTGGGAATCGGTGCTTTTACATGAATTTTGAGCTCACCGCTGGTTACTATGGTGATCGTCTGGTTTTATTGTAGTTCTGATACAAAATAGTGCCTGTTCGCTTTGATAATTTGAATTTTGGGATTTTTGGTGTAGCGTAGATGAAGCTTCATGCGCGAAAAAACACCAGTCCTGCTATACAACTCACTAATATTTTGACCTATATAAAGGGAACTCGAAACATTTATATAAATCAAGTGTTGTGGCCTAGGAGGAAACAAAAAAATTATAAAATCAAGTGTTTTGACCTATGACAAAAAAATTGATCACCCTGTGAGCAACGCGACTGCGTCATCGGGAGCTCTTCTGGGAGCTACGATGGTACCAACATAAAAAAGATGGTAGCTACGAGGCAGAGCGTAGACATGGTGGGTGCGTTTATGGAAACGTCAGTACATGTATTTCTACAGTTCAACTATCACATCAAAATCTGCTGGTGAACCGGGTGATATGGGTCAATCTAGAATCGTAATTAGTCGCGCGGCTAGAAAGATAACGTCGCATCGTATCTTCAATTACACCAACCGTATATTCATGTGTTTCTGAACAATTTTAAGATATGATCACTGAGCCACGATATTTGTTGTAAGCGTACAGTTATTTTCAATTTTTTTATTTTTTTTAGTCTCTGTATAAATTCGAGTCTTTATTTGTTTTAATCTGTTCCTTCAGAGAGTATAACTCTTAGAGCCGAGGACTAGAAAGTCCCACTGTGAATTTCTTACCACTGCAACACTATCCGACTTTCGGTGTTTTTGCCTTCTTCCAAAGTCTTCATAGCTACGTTCACTTCCGAAATTGGCATAACCTCGACGTCGCAGTCGATACCTCTAACCGCTGCCAATCGCAACATGTCGGTGGTATTCTTGGAACCGCAAACAATAGAGCCAACAATCTTCTTAGCTGTGAAGACCAACGGAATGAAGTTAAAGTTGAATGTGGCAGTAGACACCTCGGGGAGACCCAGGCGGCAGTAGGTTCCACCGAAGCATAGCAAGTCCATCCAAGGTGACATATCTCCATTCTCAGGTGCATAAGGGCAAGTGTCTAGAATGAGGTCAAGAGAACCGGCAGCTGACTTCATCTCTTCCTCACTTTCGGTCGCAACGAAATGCTTAGCACCCCATTCCCTTGCCTGTTCCTCCTTTTTATGGTTGCGAGACAACGCCGTAACCTCAGCACCCGCAGCAGTCGCAAACTTGACTGCAAGATG